AGGGAGAGAGGCATGGGCTGGAGGAAGAGGTCACTTTGATATCGGGCAGAGACAGGAAGACTGACCAGAGGGCAGGGTGGCAGACACACCCACATCAGGCTGCTGGGCTGCTTCTCTGGTCTCATTTCCCCATGTGCTTTGCCACCCTGACAAGGGGCTGAAAAGGAGCCTTTGGCCAGATGAGAAATATCCAGGCTGAAGGAGACCCCATCCCAGGCTTCACACGGAGGATAAAGTTCTTGCCACCCAGCTACAATCCTCACCATTGAGGAGTAGCTTGGTCAAGTCACAGGTCATGGGTGAAAGGGACGTGCAGGAGGCTGTGTGTGCCCGATTCTGCCGCTTGTGTTGGGGCACAGGTGTCCGTACCCTGGTCAGGTGCCCAGGGTCGTGGATGTCGTGATCCTGGGTCAGGGCGCGCTGGCCCAGCACCTGGCTGTGCCCTATGCCCCGTGAACTCCCAGTGGCTGAGGGCGAAGGCTTACATGTTCCCTCGCGTGGGTGTCCCCGTGTGTCCGTGTGTCTGGGTGTGTGTGTGGCTGTTTTTCTTTTTTACTGGCTTTGATGGGGAGGATGAAATCAGCTTCTTGGATAGAGCTGGGCTCAGCTTCCTTCCTCTGCCTTGGCCCGAAGCCCCCAGAGCCTGGAATAGGTAACAGCTTCCCTCAGATCTCCAGGCAGGGGTTGGGGGAAAGGAGATGAAAGGACGAAGGAGGGTCTGAAACAGCATTATGTGGAGAGAGCAGACTGCAGAGAACAGATATTCTCTGATACCCCAGATTCTAGTAATTCTAATGGTCATATCCTTTTTTTTTTTTTTTTTCTCTTTGGTCCTATACCCTGTCTTTGTTTTATTTATTTTTCGTTTATTTTTATTAAAATTTTTATTTTATTTATGTTTTTGGCCACACCACACGGCATGTGGGATCCTAGTTCCCCAACCAGGGATCGAACCCATGCCCCCTGCAGTGGGAGCATGGAGTCTTAACCACTGGACCGCCAGAGAAGTCCCTTGGTTTTATTATTTAGGAAGTATGGTCACCACAGGTACACTTGGCCCAGACAGTGGCCAGAAGACCCTGGCAAGAGCTGGAGAGAAAGAAGCAAGAGCTGAAAGGATGGCCCTGGGGTGTTTTGGAAGTCCACTTCTGGGGAGAGACGGGATGCCAGAGTCAGAGAAGGGTGTGGGACTCCAGACATTCACAAGCTCACAGAGCATTAGAAGAAGCCACTGGAGGCCTGACAGACATAATTCCAGGTTCTGAGATAATCATTATCCAAAATGTCATCCACACCCTGGATTTCAGGCTCTTGGAGGAGCTTATGTCTTATATATGTTTGCATTTTATCAGAAAAGCACTGGGCCTCGCGTAGAGCAGATGCTTCATAAATGCCTGTCAAGGGCTTCCCTGGTGGCGCAGTGGTTAAGAATCCGCCTGCCATTGCAGGGGATACGGGTTCAAGCCCTGGTCCAGGAAAATCCCACATGCTGCGGAGCGACTAAGCCCGTGTGCCTAGAGCCCGTGCTCCGCCACAAGAGAAGCCACCGCAGTGAGAAGCTCACCCACCTCAACGAAGAGTAGCCCCCGCTCTCCACAACTAGAGAAAGCCCACGCGCAGCAACTAAGACCCAGCGCAGCCAAAAATTTTATAACTAAAATAAATAAATAAATGCCTGTCAATACTGAGCTGTGAAATGACTGGGAGAGGAGGGTGTGGCAAGAGTGTCAGGCAGGGAGCCCCAGGGCAAAGGGAGGGAAGTCCAGTGGTCAGAGCCGGCTTGCCTTCACTGAGGTGTCCCAGGCGATGGGCAGAAAGAAACGCTGGGGTCTTATCAAGAGCTGTCTGCATGCTCTGGCTATTCTCTGAATCCTCAGTCCAGGTGTCTTCAGCTCTGGGCCTCCAACCTTGAATGAAGCTCCAAGTTCCTGTCCTACCCTCAGGAGGATAAGGGATAAAAGGTACAGCAAGGAAGGAAAGGGAAAGCCAAGGAGGAGTCAAGGAAGACACAGAAGAGTAAGGGCAACTGAGGGCAAGGGCCTGAAGGATGGGGAGAGGGAGCAAAGAGAGGCCAGGGGCTGCGATCCAAGGAAGCAGTCCCAGACTCGGGAAGATAGAAAACAGTTGTACTGGGCTTCCGTTTACAAAGCCCTTCCTACACCGCAGCACTTTATTAATCCCACTTTGTGCTGAGGAAACAGAGGCTCTTAGACATTAAGGGACTTGTCCTGGGGACTTCACTAGTGGTGGTGAAGGTGGGCCTCAGCCCAGGTTTTCTGATTTCAAAGGCTGTATCCCTCCCCTCCCATAAGAACAGCCCCAGAGAGACTGAAGACTTAGGGAAGAAATAAATGAAGGGGCTTCCGGTGGACTTGTTTGAGAAGAAAGAGTGGCTGATGTGGATTTTTGAAACTTCTTTCTGCATCCAGTTTTTATGTAGATTCAGAAGAAATTGCCAAGTATAAGTCAGGGGGCGGGCAACACTCCATTATTGAGATCTGCGGGGAGGGAGATGGTGAGGAAGGGGAATGTGGAGAGAAAAGATTGAGCCTGAGATTAAAGATGGGAGAGAACTAAGAGGTTGGGGCTGAAAAGGGGGCAAGAGAGCCACAGGAGGAAGGGTTTGGACCCTTAAAACTTCCTTTGCCTGGAGACATGGGTGTAGGGCAAAGGGAGGGGGGAGGACATTTCTATCTCATGACAAAAGAAAGTCACACAATTATTTTGTTCTCTGCTCTGGGGCGGGTGGGCGCTCATATTTACCAGAGGGACCGAGGTCGCTGTAGCAACCACACATCTGGGCCCCGGAATCCAGATGTGCTATATCCAGAAGCCATAGCAGAACGATGAGGCAAACATGTGAGGCTCTCCAGTGCTGGCCCCACAGCTGGGAAGAGGACAGAGGACCGGAGTGGGGAGGTGAAGGGAGAAGCGGGGGCAGAAGGAGGAGGAGAGGGCTGAGGCGGGGAGAAGAGAGGAAGTCATGGAAGGGGACAGGGAATGTGGACAAAGGAGTGGAAAGGGCCATGGAAACGGGGTGGTGCACACAGGGTTCGCAGCAGGAGGAGATGAGATGACCCAGAAAAAAGAAGGGGAGCAGACAGTGAAGCAGAGGGGGAGGAAGGAAAAAATACAAAAACCGGGAGAAACAAACAGGTGAACAAAGAATAAAGGGTCTGAAAGAGAAGGTGATGACTCCTGGTGGGTAGAGGGCAAAGAAAGGCAGGAAAGAAGTCTAGAGAAAAAGAAGAGGAAGAGACAGTGGGTCAGGGGTGATAAGAGGAACGAAGGGCAGACCCTGAGGAAGGAAAGCAGCAGAACTGAAAGATAAAGAGGATCTGAGCCAGAAGGGGGCCAACAGGAGGTGCAGGAGTGACAATGGCCAGCATGCTGCGGTGGCCTTCCAACACGGGGCTGCAGCTGGAGACCCACGTGGGCCTGGAGGGCGGCAGACTGACTGACCTGCCTTCCCCCTCCACAGCACACCCACTCTCCACGCCTCTCCTGGTCCTTCCCACCACCCATGCCCTTGGTCAAGAGAGTCTGACTGTCGGTTCACACCACAGTGCCAGCTGTCCCTTGCCACTAAGCCAGAGGAGCTGTATGCCCTACCCCAGAGCACCCAGTCTGAGATGCCAGTGCTTCAAGCACTTTCCTGAGCTGGGGTCAGGAAAGAGAAAAAGCGATGGGACAATGAAACAGTGATGGACCCAGATGGGAGAAAAGCGGAACTGAGGAGAAAAGGACAATGTAAATGGAGGGAGAAAGGAGCAGGGGAGGAGAGAAAAGTGTGCCCACTAAGGACCGGGCAGCCTGCACATCATCTTTCCTCCCCACATCAACCCTGAGAAGTAGGTAGGAGTACCCCATTTTACAGATGAGGAAACTAAGGCTCAGAGTGTTTGTTACCTACCAAAGACACCCACTAACAAAAGGCAAAACAGGGACTCCAACTCAGGTGCTCTGCCTCCAAAATCCCTGTTCTCCTTGCACTCACTGCCTGGATAAGGCTGGAAAGGGCTGGAGGGACCTTGGGACAGGAAGTGTCGGCGGAGGAGCCAGGGCTGCCCTCTGGAGGGAGGAGAGGCCTAGTTCCTGGGGGCCCTAGGTTCCAGGTTGCCATAGTTACTTGGTCTGTTTTCACCCCAAACACAGTAATGGGGAAGCGGGGGAGCCTGGCTGAACACGTGAGGTTCTTCCCGCTTTCAGCCCTCGGCTTATGGCCCGGGCAGCCCCTGTCCAGCCACCTGGGCATTGAGCCCAGGCCTAGCCCACACCCTCCCGCTGACCCAGGACACTCCTGCAGGGCCAGGCCCGGGGTGCTGCTGGACAGGAGCTGCTGATGGGGATCCCCCCTAGGCTGAGTGAGACTCGGCCCCTCACCCATCACCCTGTTCCCCTTCCTCCTAATTAGAAAACACAGCCTTTCCTGCTGGCCCTGTGCTCCTCCTTTTCTTTCAACTGGACTCTCAAGTTTCAGTTTCCTCCAGTTTAGGGCTAAGGAGATGCTCCTCAACGTGCCCCTTCCCTCCAAACACTGCCCCCTTCTCCACTGTGTCTCCTCCTTTCTGGGCTCACAGCCCCTGGCCCCACTGTTAGTTCAAGCTGCTAGTCCTGGAAAGCAAGGTGGGGGAGAACCTGCAAGAATGCAGAGGACCCAGGGAGGACACTCACCCTGAAGGGCGTGGGGCCCCCTGTCCTTCCTGTTTACTCAGACACATTCCGGGATCTGCATCCTCCAGCCTGTCACGCCATGGGACAGCCCTCCCCCACTCCCCCACTCCTCCGCTCCCCGGATCCCCCGCTAGACAGCAGACATACCCGCGTTGCAGGGGTGGGGATAAGGGGATGACTTGAGCTCTGCGATCACACACCCACCCCACCCCAGAGCCAGCCATGTCTTCAGTACTTGATTCTCTGAACACTGGCCCTATGCAAGTCACTTTCCCCAGAATTCCCCGTCATGAGCCAGTTAGTTAGGCAGGCACCATTCCTTCAACTCCCTCCAAGTTGTTTATTTAATAATAAAAAAGAAGATATGCACATACATACACCTGACCTCCCTCCACCTCTCCTCCTTGACTCTCAGGAACTAGCTCCAAAATGTAAAAACTTCCCTAGTCCCGCCTGGGGACTAAATTCCCACCTCCACCCCCCAAACAGAAACAAAAGAATAAAGAGTGTACAGGAGCCCACCTACCCCAAAACTTAAGCTCATTCAACACCCTCAAAGAAAGAAACAGGGACACGGGGTTCACAGAAATGAGAGGAGCCCTATATTCCAAAAAGGGGTGAGAAGAGAGGATAACTTCCCCCCACCTCCAAATAAGTGCTTAACCCCCATACCCTGTCTTTCCTTTACCAATTGCCCCCAGCCCAGGGATCAGGAAAATTCGAAACAGTCCCACTTGGTCACCCCCACCCCCTGCCCCCCAGTTCTAAGTCAGTGTGAGTCGTAGAGGTCAGGGATGATTGAGGTAGAGGGCTGATGGGTGGCCTGGTGGGTCTGGCTGGCTGCAGAAGCTGGCAAGGGGCCGCCTGTGGCATTGCCCGGGCTTGAGGACGGCTGTTTTCGGAGTGAGGGGGGCACCGTGGAGGTCTTGATGTGGATCACCCTGGTGTCCATGACCTCACATTCGATCTGCATCATCTCCTCATAGTCTCCCGGGGGCCCCCGGCCTGACAGGGTCTCTGTGAGAAGCGGGGAGTTAGGGGAGAGGAGAAGGGGGAGGCAGACGGAGAGGAGGGGTCAGAACGGTAGAGGTGGACGGGGCGGGGGAAGGGCAGTGATGAGGAAGCAGAGCCCCAGTGGGAGTTAAATGAGAGGGGAGGGAGGGAGTTGGTGCAGGGAGAAGGAAGGAAGTCGGGGGAAAAAATGACACTGATGAGTGTGAGGTCACAGGGGAGAGGACAGCAAGAGAACAAAAAGCAGAGTCCGGCAGGTTCCCAGCCCACACCCCTCAGCCCAGCACACCCTAAGCAGCTTCACCTAGGGAGGACCGGTACCCTCATCTTCCTCCTAGCAGTGTCCTGCATTTTATTTTTCTCTCCAGTCATTTCTGGCTTCTTCTCACCCATGCATCTAGCATCTCTCTAGAATTACCGCTCCTGTCCCCATCTCCCCCCTCAACTCCTCAAGCTGGGTCTCCCCACTGGAACTTCCTTGTTCCTCAATTTCAGGACCCCTCCCCACACTGGGCAGAGAAAGAATTACCATTGGGGGCCATGGCGGGCATCACCAGGGACATCTTGGGCCGAGAGGTCTTGTTGTGGCTGATGGCTGGGAGCAGCAAGTGGTCCTGGGAAAAAGAGGGGCCAGGCTGGGAGGGTGGAGGAAAAGATGTTGACAGGCTCCCCGGCTACAGCCTCAACCTGCAGGCAGACTGCTGGGGAACCCAGGGTGATGGGGATGGGGCCAGGAGGAGAAACTCACTCTTCGGAAGGAGACAACATAAAATGTGTCTTCCCGTCGGTCAATTGCATCCAGGAACTCTGGCTGCGAACGGTCTGGTTGGCGATATAGCTGCAGCTGGCCCACAGCATCCCTAGGCGGGCAGGGAAACAGGATTGGTGAGGAACTAAGCCCAGTGCCCAGTTCCCAGTGGGGAAGGGGGAAAGGATGAGAGAAAGACAGGAGACCCCCAGGGGATAAGGGAAGCATCATGCCATTGGTGGCAATGATGATGAGCACAGGACAGCTCCCGAGAGTACAGCTCTTTAGAGTGGAACCTCACTTAATAAACAAGTGCCCCCCCAAGACTCACCTTTCTGGGGGCCCAGGGGGTTGGGTGGGGACTGCCTTAACTGGAGGCGACTTCTTCCATAGCTGAGACTTCTGGAAGGAGAAGTATCTGAGGATTTGAAGAGGGTGGAGGGAAAAGGGAAAAGAAACAGACAGCCCCTGGGAGCTGACGCCACCGCACACCCACCCTCCTACTGCCCCCAAAGCCCCATAACAAGATGCCCACTTAAAATCCCCAGGACATTCAGCCCTTGTTTTCAAGTGGCTTTCCTTGAACCAGCCCCACCCCCTCCTACCTGTCTCTCCTGGGGCCTCTGGGGCATCTTCCGCCGGCCTCTCTGGTGGCGCTGGACCCAGCCACTCAGCTCATCAGCAAGCCTGGGGAAGCAGAGGACGGGAAAAACCTCTGTGCCAGGCCAGGACTCCCACTCTCCTCGCCCACACATAGGAGGGAAGAGAGAGGGCACAGAGAGCTGGTGCTTCAACACACAAGGACAGCCAGGCCGTCTGCAGAGGGGCCTCGGGACAAGAGGGAAGACGCCCCAGTTGTGAATGCCCCACACCTCAGGGACTCGGTTCGGTTGAAGTGCCGGCAATCAGAGGAGAGGAAGAGCTGGTCCAGGTCTCTCAGCAGCAGCTCCTTGGTGCCCCCAGGGAAGGCTGTCAGGTTCCTGGAGTGAGGCAGGGATGAGGCAATGACCCGAGGCTGCCCAGTGCTCTCCCATCAACGGAGAAGGTCATGCTGGCAAGAGAGCAACTCCAGCTCCCCTCAAAAGGAAAGGTCACTCTGGGGGAGAAGACACACCCAAAAGAGAGAGGGCCCTCTCCTCACCTGAAACTTGGCTGGCCCGTGGAGCTGGGCTGGGTCTCCTTGGGACCCTGGGAGGGATGCTGGGGGTGCTCTACTCTGTGAACTGGCTCTTGTGCCGAGAACTCCAGCAAGTGTCTCTGGGGTCGAGGCTCCTCTCTGCTCATCCGAGGAGAGATGGGAGCTGGAGGAGGCTCACTGATGCTGTGGATAGGAAAGGACAGAGCACGAGGAAGAATTCCAGCTTTACTGAGGGGCTAGTTAAGAGGGAGGGCTCTACAGATAGCCCACCTGGTTCCCATCTGTTCTACAAGACTGAATCTCTTCATCTGTAGGACGGAATGAGAACAGTCCCTACTCATCGAGCCAGAAAACATGAGAAAAGGAGAGTGCTTAACCAAGGGCCCAGAACTCACTAAGCACTTAATAGTCACTATTTTTATCAATGTTCTCACCACCATCTTCTCCAGGACATAACACTTATGAGAGCAATGAGGGAACAAGAAGGGACTGACTGGACACACCCACCATCAGTGCCAAGGACCTCAGAGCTGTCTGTGTGCAAGTAATGAAAGTGACTGTGCCAGAGCAGGCAATCAGGCAGCCGGGGGGTGGGCTCCACCCAGAAGGCTCTGGGGAGGCAATGAGGGTCTCACCTGACAGGCCCAAAGTTGAAGGCAATGAAGAGAAGGAAGACCATGATGCAGACCACCTTCCTGTTTCCAGACCCTAACTTGAGCTCGCTGTTCTAAGATGCAGAGAAAGAGAGAAGCCAGAGAGGGCGAGTCATCCCAAGGAGCTCGTACTCCCGCGTCTCCCAAGGACACCCGGGTCTCACCTCGGCCAGCAGGGCCTCCAGCCGCCGGCGGAGGGCAGCATTCTCCCGCCGGAGCTGCTGGTTGTCGGCCAACACCGCCTGCAGCCGAGCTTCCAGCCCCTGCAGATACTCTTTCTTCTTCCTCCGGGACTGGCAGGCCGACTCCCGGTTCTTGATCATTCGCTGCTGCCGCTTCAGCAGCTTTGCCTAGGCACAAAAGGGTCAGAGAGAGAGGGAAAGA